TAATGATGAGGGCTTCCATGCTATTTGTTTTGGCCTCTTCTAAAACAACACTTGTTCGTTTGTCGGTCTTGCCATTTAATGCGTAGGATCCTTCTTAGGTATCGCTGGTGGTATTTTGCTAGGTTTTTTATGTGTCCTCCATGTTTTGCAGCCATTTGTAAGTGTTGGTATTTCAACTGCATCGTAGACGCGAAGTTTGGTCTCAGCGCTGATGTCGTGATTGTTGCGGACTGTCTCGAAGTCGCCCGAACGCTACGCTAGCTCACTTCCAGCGATGTTCGATTTCAGCGTCAACGGTAGCATTCGCTGACAGATGGCTCCCAAGGACTGGGTAGTGTTCTACGTTCTGCAAAAAATGGTTATTTATAGTTATATTTGGGGATTATAGTGCCCGGTTCAGGTTGGTGCATCAGAATCTGCGTCTTGTTAAAGTTGACCTCTAGGCCGATTGATAATTGCTTGAAGTTACGTCACCTTTCTTGAGGAAAGGAAAATTAAGGACTGTTTTTATACAATTCATTCAAGATTAATTAGTTGAAAGTTACGATGGAAGGAAAACTGGATCAAAAATATATGCCACGTGACTACCAATAGAGAAATCGCGTGTCAGGGTATGTGAGTGGTAAATTTCCACTGAGAATTAAATGTGAATAGGTGTAATTATTATTTATTTCCGTGGAGAACCAACGGATGCACACCCGGAATAACAGCAGCTAAACATACAGCACCCACCGTGAAACCATTCGAACTAACAATTATTATTTATTTACGAAACTTGTTTTTAATGGAATCAACTTGCTTGAAAACCATTATTTTTTCTGATCTTATAAGGAATTTGTAAGCTTCTCCGCCATTTTTAAGTCGGAAAATTCCTCTGCACCCGCGGAGAAAAATAAAGTTTTCGGAAGTTTGATCTACTTTTCTCCACAGTTTTTCCTAAAATTTAATTGTCACTGACCATCGATGCTAGTCACTAACTTTCTCACTCGTTGAAGAATAAGACTATTTCCCGTCACAGAACCAATACAATGCCTACAGAAATAGATCGGACTTACAATTTTAACATGGCGAATGAGTTACTATTCTATGAGTTGCTCTCTTTAAATATTCTGAAAAGTGTATTAATTTGAATAAATAATGAGCTCCATAATTGATAGTAGATTCTAGTGCGTAACCTAAATTACCCATAATAAGTGAGATAAGAAGATCCATTTTATATTTCATATTCTCAGTATTCCTTAAAACGTAGGTATTTTTGAAAAAAAACAAGCAACAAGGGGGTACCATGGGCCCACTCGAGAGGGCCTATTTAGGGCTTTAATAATATAAGTTCTTAAGTCTATTAAAGGCCATTTTATCAATTTCATTAACAATAATTTATTCAGGAAGACTCTTCTCATGGAATTGAACAAAAATCGCAACGAAATAGTCGGGAATCTGAGGTGCTGAATTCGACCACCTCTATACAAGTCGCGAACATCCACCTAAAAAACATTAAATCCTATGTAAAATGACCTGCCGGATTCGAATTTCTTGTTCGCCCTTTGATTCGGAATTGCGAAATGTGTCAAAACATGACATTTTTGAAAAAACTGAAAATTTCCATTGAAATAATTTTTTTTGAAAACTAGTGCATAACTTTGTTAATTGATGTCCGATTGTTATGAATTTTGGATATGATATTTTTCAGTACTTCCCTGACATAGTTTCATAACAATAAAAAACATAGAACGTCACATAAAAGCTACGTAATTTTTTTTTCGCCAGATGACACAAAATATCGTCATTTTGCAGCGTTAAATGGTGAGTCGAGAAAACTTTTTTATCTTTAGAGATAGATACCTAGTATAAGCGAGAAAAATTTTATTTTTATTTATGGGTTTGGTTGGGTTGGGAAACAATATGAATAGGAAAAATATTAATAATAATTTTTTTCACAAGTATAAAAATAGTATATTGTTGTATTAGAAGTAGAAGCTTTACTTCTTTGTGCTGAAGCAGTAGGTTTGCGAGCCGAACGTAGTGAGGCTTGCAATACTGCTGAAGCACAAAAAAGTGCTTCTACTCCGTATGCAACACGCTATTTTTTCTCCAAACGAGTGGGGTAAGCTTGGGGGTAACTGAATGGTTGAGCGGCAGTAAAAGTACGAGCGGCATTAAAAGTACTTTTGCTGCCGCTCCAGCGGCACTAAAAGTACTTCTGCTGCCGCTGCGGTTGCCTAGCAGCATAGAAATTAAATTTCTACCACCTCGACAGGTGTTAACCCGCTGGATTTGCCTACCAGCATAGAAATTAAATTTCTAACATCTTGACAGGTGCTCACAAAGTGACGTTTTTTTGACGTTTGGAGAAAAACAATATTATCATTACCTAATCAAAATATTTATTTCACAATGCATTTTCTCTCAGACAAACACTGGCAAAAAAGGAAAAAAAAAATCCATTTATTTATTTATTAATTATTTCCAAATATGGAATCTATTTCTAGGGAATCCAATTAATGTGAGTAAAAAAATAATAGCAACAAGATTTCTTTTTTAAAACAAAGCATCAGGCTCAATTCAAAATTTTGTAGTAAACGGCTAATTCCACATGTTTTGGTGTTTTCATTCCAATTAATACAAATAAAAAATCTTGACAAATATCCAAAACCTTTTCTTCAAGCTTCTCTTCCAACAGAACTTTTCAGTCTTTGTCAAAATTTACTTCTTTTTCACTAGTTTCTCAGTAAGTAGGTATCCACGAAAAAGGTTGTATAATGACTTTGGTATGATATACGGATGCACATTCTTCAGTAATTGTCAAAGTCTCTTGCTGCACACAATTTGCAATAATCCGCCCTCAAATATTAAACATTTGATTGTAGTTTATAAGGAGAATGGCCTTCATTGAAAAATGTGGCGTCAGCGTCAGAATTTGAAGAACTTGAATTCCTTACAGCGTCTTATTTATTGATAATTACTTTAGTAGAGCAAAGATAACTTGAAAGTTTTCCATCTCGAAGAACAACCATAATTGTTCTCCCATGAAACGCCAAAAGTCGCATACCACGAAGGCGTCCTTATTCAAGGCGACCTTCAAGTCACAAGGGGTCCTTAATTTGATGTGTGACTGAGAATACGGGCTTTAAAAAGACTTTGCAGGTTATTGATAATCTCTTCTGACGATGGATATTGTGCAGTTTACTCAACGTTCCATAACTTTGCAGCCTTGTTTCCCTATGTAGGATGATGTCTATTGTGAAGACCCTATTTTCTATAAATAGGGCATTTTCTATATCTATAAGATTGAATTTTAATAAAAATAGTTCCAAACGAAAGTACTTGAGATTCTTGTAGGGAATTTACTTCTGATTTTGATTTTTGGAATAGTTTCAAGAAACACAGACTATGATACGATTGATATGCACATTCGTGAACAATCATGTAAATACATTTATTACCAAATCCTTGAATTCAATGCAAAAGTTGATGGTTGTTTTTGCCATGTTCCATATTTCATTTTGCTTATCAAATGTCAGTATTTGCTTGAGTCTTCTCAAACCCCTACTATCGCGAATTTTATTGCATATTATGCAAATCTTTGAATAAGAGGATTTAATTCGCTTACTAGTACATTTTGAAGCACCTTCTTCTGGTTCAGGTCTTTCCTTGTTGGCTTTCCTGGTATAAGCTCGTCTACATTTAGAATTTAGGGTGATAAACAGGATTTAATGATAAAAACAGTTCTCTTTTGTCAGCATAGTTTCTAACGGCCAATTTCATAATAGAGAATTAAAAGTTACTTTAGCTAAATAGACTTTCAGGATAGGATTTTTCAACTTCAAATGGAAAGTTTACTTCAAGTTGATTATGAAATTGGCCGTAAGAGCTATGGAATAACGATCGCCTTTCTCAATGACAATAATACATGCTTGAAATAGGAAATGTAGGTATACGGCTTCTTTTGTGACACTCTGTACCGTTTCCTAATTATTTGATTAACACAAAATACACTCGTTGAAATTGATATTTTTACTTATGATAGGTATATAGGTACTTCATGTCTTTTACAATAACAAACATAAACGGGAGAAAAACAAAATGAAATTCCAAAAAAAAACGCTTCTGCCGTCGGTATCGTCGCGTTATCTTTCTTGCACATATGGAGAAGACTGTGGTGTTAACTCTCTTTGACACACTGATCGCTTTATCCGCTGCACCGCGTCCTGAGACCACGCTCACCGGCAATGCCGAGAGTTGAGACGCGGGGATTCAATTTTCTTCGGTTTTTAAAAAAGAATACACCTCAAACTAAACGTCGTATGGAAAAAAAGTTTCAGTAAAAAAGTTTCTTTACTCTATTGGCAACATTTTTCTCGCTTATACTAGGTATAAAAGATAAAAAAGTTTTCTCGACTCACCATTTAACGCTGCAAAATGTAGATATTTTGTGTCATCTTGCGAAAAAAAAATTACGTAGCTTTTATGTGACATTCTGTGTTTTTTATTGTTATGAAACTATGTCAGGGAAGTACTGAAAAATATCATATCCAAAATTCATAACAATCGGACATCAATTAACAAAGTTATGCACTAGTTTTCAAAAAAAATTATTTCAATGGAAATTTTCAAGTTTTTTCAAAAATGTCATGTTTTGACACATTTCGCAATTCCGGATCAAAGGGCGAACAAGAAATTCGAATCCGGCAGGTTATTTTACATAGGATTTCATGTTTTTTAGGTGGATGTTCGCGACTTGTATAGAGCATCTTTAAAAGGCTTCCTAGGAGGCGTCAGATTCCCAACTAAAATGGGATTCTAAGACAAAAGCATCAATATGTCAAAAGAGTCACTGATCTTCTCTTTGTTAAAAAATTCTGTAATAGGTGTGGCCAGAAAAAAATTGCTTTGCTATTCATCGTCAAAACATCATTTGTTATTAAATTTAAAAAACAGTTTAATTTTTTTAAACTTCTTTATAAGAAAAAGTCTTACTAAATTATTTTTCATCCTTCTAGGCAAATCTCCATACTTTCCAGGATTAGATGACCAGGCTGGAACGGTACTATTAGAAGAACCAACTCATTTGGTAGATGGCACACTTGGTACTCAACCTCTGAGTTCGCCATCCAGATCATCGCCCCACTCTCAAGGATCAGAGGGCGGTGAAAGATTTTCGAGAAAAGTTTTTGTAGGTAAGAAATCAGAACATAATTTTGAAAAATCGGCATAAGTTATATCACATATTAATGGACATATTTTCTCTAGGTGGTCTTCCTCCGGATATAGACGAAGATGAGATTACAGTGAGTTTTCGGAGATTTGGACCCTTAGTGGTAGACTGGCCTCACAAGGCAGAAAGTAAATCATATTTTCCCCCTAAAGGATATGCGTTTTTGTTGTTTCAAGTAAGTGTGTTTGAAAAACGTTATCCTATATAATATTTTTTTATTTGTCTATCCATCCTCGTCTCTGATATTAATCCTAACTAAATTTGTTATTTATCATATTACAATATTATATTATTTAGCTTCCGAAATAGCTGTACACAAATCGAAAAAGGAGCAAAGATTTATTAGAAAATGGCCGTTAGTTTATTTACAGATAAAGCACGCAACTTGGGGTAGAAAAGTTGCGTGTACTTTTACACAACGTACCCCAAGTACAAAATTACTTGTTTTATAATATATATTATGCTCTTTTAAAATAGGTAATTTTGTTACATTATCTTTTTATTTAGGATGAAAATTCAGTTCAAAGTCTCATCGACGCATGCATAACCGACGAAGACAAATTGTATTTGTGCGTTTCTTCGCCCACAATCAAAGATAAACCAGTACAAATTCGACCATGGAGGTTATCAGACGCTGATTTTGTTTTGGATGCGTCCATGCCCCTTGACCCCAGAAAAACCGTTTTCGTTGGTGGTGTTCCACGACCTCTTAAGGCTGGTATGTACTTTTAATTGAATACATTTGAAAAAAATAAAATAAATATACTTATACTTTTGTTTCAGTTGAATTAGCAATGATAATGGATAGGCTATACGGTGGTGTGTGCTATGCTGGAATAGACACGGATCCGGAGTTGAAATATCCAAAAGGCGCAGGCAGGGTAGCGTTCAGTAATCAACAGAGCTACATAGCAGCAATTAGTGCTAGATTCGTTCAGTTACAACATGGAGACATCGATAAGAGAGTTGAAGTTAAGCCCTATGTACTAGATGACCAAATGTGTGATGAGTGTCAGGGACAGAGATGTGGTGGGAAATTTGCGCCGTTCTTTTGCGCAAATGTTACTTGCTTGCAGGTGAATATTTTGTCTTCATTTTAACCAATGAACTATAGCCAAAAACTGGAATGCGCACACATTGCCATATCTGCCAAAATAATTTAGCCATGAAAGACAGATGCCATAAGGGGGAATGTTGTTTCTTTCTGTTGCTCGCTGACATATGACGTTTTCGAAAGATTTGTCATATTTTCCTTCACAGGTTTCATCAATTGGAATACGTGTTGGAAGCAATTTCCGCCATTTAACATAATGAGTGCAACAGAAACAGGTTTCCCCTCCGCAGCAGCGGCACTAGGCTTCATGTTCGTCAATATGTGTACGCATTCCAGTTTTTGGTTATAGTTCATTGATTTTAACCTACCTTAATGCAATAGTAAATACACTTATCCAAATAGTCTAGGGAACAAAAAATATCTTTCTTTCAATTTTAAGACAAAGCAATTTTTTTTAAAGATAACGTGGGTATTATTTATTGAACAAGTCTTATCAAATTTACATTTATATCGGCTTTTTTTGCAAGCTTGTTTGGTTTAAATATTTTATAAATAAAATCACCAAAAAAATTCTGACAAGTATAAGTATTATCTTGTTCCCTAGACCATTTTGATGTGTGTATATCAGTAACTCAACTTTTAGCTTTATTCCAAATTTATCTTGTGTTGAGTTTATAAAGCGGTACAAGGATGCACTAAATTTTTCTACTATTTTTATTCCTAGGATGCAAATAACAAGTAAACAAAACTATATCAAGTTCCTTTTTTTAAGCCCTAATAACAGTAATAACATCAGTTTCATAAACATTGAAACAGCTTACTGAAAATCTGCATGAATCATGGAACATACATTATGGAAAATTTTGTCCAACTCCGACATTCCAAAGACAAATTTTCGAACATCGAAGGATTTTTCCGTTCTTCTAAATAAATTTTTCCCACTTGTAAATATCAATACAACCCATGTCTGTTTTCTTTTCTGCCATAAAAATCATGAAAAATGATGTATAATTTATGGAAGATTCAGATTATAGGGAAGAAAAAAATTGCGTAGAAAAAAGCAGCTGACCCGGCGTTTTCATACTTTTTATCAGCCAGTTCAGTTTCTTCGACAATTTTTTTTCTTCCAAGTTGGCTCTTTATTTTCAGCTGAACTCTTAGTATTGTCAGTTTTTCCACCGCTCCAACCGGAAATCACCTGTCCCATTTACAGACTGATTATCGCTACAGAATACGTGGACGGCTACAGCCAGTGCCACCTGCTTTCACCTTGGTTCCATCAGCCAAAAACCGACACTCAATCTTGTAAACAACCAAAAAGTTACTATGATTAGTGTATGCGCCCCAACTTAAGATTGGGACGATGACAAAAAAAAGTGGTTTCATAACCATCCAGATAGAATCTTAATAAACAATAGGAGACTTAAATGCCCTGGGGTCGGGATAAACTACATTGCCAATGACGGCAATAATAACTCAAATTGAGAATCGTTCTGCTGTCCAAATATTCGGGGCAAAATTTCGTCATCACAACTACTCTCTTTCGTCTATGGAATAAGCTGGAAACGACGCGGCAACATCCAAGATCAAAGCACCATCTCATCGACTACGTTGTATTGTATAGGCCCGTACCACAAATAAATGTAATTTTATTATATTGTCTGGATTTTCTGCTAAAAGCTAAAAGCAAAGAATTACACTCATTGAAGGTACCTGAATTAAATGTCTTCTAAAATATAATATGCAAATCGTCAATTTCATGTTATTTGGTGAGTGCATGACAATACAGCATTATTATGAGCGCCAGAGACCAACGTGACGTGAAACTGCCCAGAACTCTGCTGATGGCTACTGGACTGACCACCGGATGGTCCGATCTGTAATTTACTACCTAGTACTAGGTAGCATAGCACCAAACAACATGGAACAAAGTAAACAGCCACAACGCAGGTTGAACAATGATTTATTCAAAGATGAAGACGCGAAAACAAACTTCCAGCTACTATTCAATGAGAAATTATCTGCTGAACATCCTGACGATATTGACCAGCAAGTGAATGATTAAAGCAGCTATACTGTCAGCCTGCCAAGAAACAACGGGCTTTATCCCAAGCAATTGCTTCAATGAGAACAATAAAGAAATTCAGTCCGTCATAGATCTTAAGGGTAATATCTGTCCTGGCAAACACAGAGGAAGACCTACTAACTATCCTAAACAATTGCTTTGAGCAATTATGCCAATTAATTTGCCAAAAATCAAAGTGCGTGCAAATTAAGCCCTAACTCAACAATTCTGAGAGTAGGGTAGGTTGGCGCCACCGAATCAGGACAGATGAGTCGGACACTCCAGGATTTTTTCTGGCTCTAGGTCCTTACGAAATCAAAAGAATGGTATATAACTCAAGACATATTAAACCAAAATCCTATACCCCTGCGGGCCCTGCCTCTAATACTAATGCACCAAATTCAGCTCTGATTATCGATGAAGCATCTCTAGAAAATTTAGAATTCTTCCCATACATCGATAGTCATAACTCGACAAATGCAAATATAAACGCTTAAATTTAACACCGACTCAGGTGCGCCATCTATTTGGACGCCTGTCAGTCATCATCATTACGGATGTGATATCCGGGCTACCTACAGACGACACCTGAGGTACTTGGCGAAGTACCTACCACCAGTGTTTCTCATCCAGAGTGCAATTTAAATGATACAGCGGTATTCTCACGAGTCGGCAAATATGAAAACGTGGGAGATCGATGTGGGTGATTTCCCGGGATCAACCTGCATAGTCTGTTCTCACAAGAGTCTCTGATAGTTTGCAAACTATCAGAAAGCATCGCCCATATTTGTTTTCAACGGTAACTTAGCTGAGCGATTCTTTCTGACCGTTTGCAAACTGTCAGATACTATTGTGAGAACAGACCTACTAACGACCAGCTACTGTTGACTGATGGGTTATCCAATCAATGGGGAAGAAATTGTGGATCTTTCCTTATAGACTTTTTCAAGTTTAGCTGTTGATTTCTGATTCTCTATTCTTTAACTCTGAATGCTGTTCATTTACACTATTTAAAGCAATACCCATTGTCAGAATTTTTCCTGATATTGCCGGAGTCCTTATACAAAATTAGATCTAAGGGATGGAGCATTTCATTAGCTTTTTGCGGCTCTATATTTTAAATTGAAAAAAAAAGATCCTTAATTCATGTGCCTACTTACATTGTTGTTGAACGTTCTTCATAAGTTGGGATATTACATTATGAATTCACTCAATGTCCTTCACTTATTTCTGTAAGATTTTAAAACTTTAACATGCTCAATTTTTTTCTCTCATATTTTAGGCCCGGAAAGTGAGGTTGAACCTCGCAAACTCGACACAAGTTCTGATTATTTTTTTTTCTGGTAGGACAAGGGCGCGCTGCTTATTATGAGTCTAACTTTTTCCAACAAAATTTCACCCTAGAACATCCCCCTTTATTCCCCTAAAGGTCGTTTTTTGTGGTTTTTCCGAAACGTAGCGCGTCCGCTATGTTTTACAAAAAAATACCTCAATAGTAAATTAAAGAGGACTAAATTCTCTACAATTTATCCAGCGACAGCATGTGTCTATCACCTACCCTTTATTCGGGGTGTCGCTCTAAAGTTGAATGACCTTGAAAAAAGATGTTTTGGAAATTATTATTTTTTTACTGAACAGTGAATCGAATCCACCACAAACCATACAGCAAATACTCATAAATAATTGGCCGATTTTTTGGTATATTATTATGCTTTATTTAAAAAGAGTTACCCGTTTAAGATATACAGGGTGTTGAAATTTGAACAACCCCCTTTTATATCATTTGAAGGGCTAATGCTAGGCTGTTCAAATTTTCAGGGATGTAGGGATAAGATTGAAAAATTTGTATAATGCACCCCTTTTTTCTACCTGAAACCACCCCAAAAAAATAAAATTTGAAAAAAAAATGCTTTCTTTTTCTTCAATTTCGTATAAATTTCCTTCCCATAGAATGCATAGGTAACGATTTAATAGCAAAAGAGTGGTTGCGACAACTTCCATAAGGCGCATGGGTAGTTTCCGGGGGGATGTTGCAGTAAGAAAATATATTTTTGGAAAGCTTATTTTGTGCGCTAATGACCTATCTATATATATAAAAATCAAAGTTCACGGGGTATCCGGATATGCGCTCCAAAACCACTTATCCGATTATGATGAAACTTTGGTAGGTTGTTATGGCCATCCCAAGGAAGGTTTGTGGATAGATTACGCATCTCGGAAAAAGAAATTAATTTTGAATTAATTATTAATTTAATTGTAAACAAACTCATTCACATTACATAACAACATAACCCAACTTTTTTTGACAGCATGAAACAACGTTGCCATATTTCATTTATTTAGGCTTGCATTCAACCGACGTAACTTTATTATTTTTTGAATTCAAGAACGGCTGGACCGATCTTGAATTAATACCACGTATCTCTATATAAGGTGAATTCGATTGACCCAGATTAGATCGATTTGGGTTCAATTTAAGTGAACTTCTTCTGATCTAGATCATTTTTTTGTTGATGAGGGTGCACTGATCCAGCTTGAATCGAACACAGTGTGGTTCACTTAAATTGAACCAGATCGATCTAATCCGGTCAATCGAATCGGCTATAGAGGCGAGTGATATAGGCTATTTTTTATCCCGAAAAAAAAGTTCGGTTGCGTAAAACTCTGATACACTGGAACGCCTATAAACAGCCCGAGGCGCTCTACAGCAGCTCTGGAGAGCTTAAAATGCGTCACTGAACTCACTGGCAAGCGACTATGATATCGGATTAAAAAAAAATTAAATAGAAAATCAACAACAAAATTTGAAAAGAAGTGTATTATTTCAGAATGTATTTACATGCTGGCACCGCAGCGGGTCATTAGCTAGTGTGAAATAAAAAGCAAAAAAAAATTTGTTTTTTTTTCACCCCCTTAATATATTTTTTTTCGCCTAAAGGGGTTGTACTAGAAAAATGGTTGTGGTGTCTATGCATGTATGTCGGAGATGTGCACAAAATAATATTTGAACCATTCACATGAAGGGTATTGTGTGTGAGAAAATGAAAAAAAAGGCATTTTTTTTTCAATTTTTTTTTTTTTGGGTTTGTTTCAGGTAGAATATAGGGGTGCATTATACGAATTTTTCAATATCATTCCTACATCAATAATCCCTGAAAATTTGAACAGCCTAGCATTAGCCCTTCAGATGATATGAAAGGAGGTTGTTTAAATTTCAACACCCTGTATATCTTATACGGGTAACTGTTTTTAAATAAAAGATATACCAAAAAATCGGCCAATTATTCATGAGTATTTGCTGTATGGTATGTGGTGGATTCGCTTCACTTTTCAGTGGAAAAATAAAAATTTCCAAAACATCTTTTTTCAAGGTCATTCAACTTTAGAGCGCCACCCCGAATAAAGGGTAGGTGATAGACATATGCTGTCGCTGAATAAATTGTAGAGAATTTAGTCCTCTTTAATTTACTATGGAGGTATTTTTTTGTAAAACGTAGCAGAAGCGCTACGTTTCGGAAAAACCAGAAAAAACGACCTTTAGGGGGATGAAGGGGGATGTTCCAGGGTGAAATTTTGTTTGAAAAAGTTAGACCCATAATAGGCAGCCCTTGTCCTACCAGAAAAAAAAATAAAACAGAACTTGTGTCGAGTTTGCGAGGTTCAACCTCTCTTTCCTGGCCTATTCATAATAAATGTGGAATTTATATTATCAAAATAATTTATATGTATATAAACAAACTGTGGTGTTGGATTTTGAAAATATTTTGTTTATTTGCTATCAGTGGAATATGTGTTTTTATTATCTTGCAAAACCAAATCAAATATTGTAGATTGGCCGGTTTTGTACTATTTTTGAAATCAATATTTATTCACAGTTCAGTCCCTGATTAATAATATCTTTCCCTAAATGATAATTGAACATATTCAAATAAGTAAATATTTATTACAATATTCTGAAATCGCCTTTTCTTGTTCTAATTTTCTGAATGGATGAAAGTTTGTTTCACTTTGTCCAGAACCGTTTCTATAAGAAGGAAAAAGTCGGGTTTTCGGTTGAATTGGAACATGTTATTCTAATGTAATTTTTTAATTTTATAGTACTACTGCGAGCACTGCTGGGCCACGATCCATTCAAGGCCAGGTAGGGAGTTCCATAAGCCCTTGGTTAAAGAAGGAGCAGACCGGCCCCGTGCCGTACCCTTTCGTTGGTGTTAACGCCGGCGCGCAGCAGCTGCGCGTGCGCCGCAGCCCCTTAGCTTATTACCACACTCTGGCAGCGGCCCCCTAGGCGAAATGTTAGTACAGTAACTCAGTACCTATTTTACTACATCACATCTACCTTTGATGATTTCTTTAACACTTATTTTTTTTTGTAATTGATTGTTAAAAGTTATTGTAAATCAGAAATAGAGCTGACGTCTTCCTTCGTTTAGAGAAAACTTTGAAGAATGGTAAAAAAGAAATACATATCTGAATGTGGAGAAAAATAATTCAATAATTTGATTTTGTGTATTTCATCAAAGGTAGAGAGAATGGTTAGTTATGGGTCATTTATCTAGTAGCAATTATACATATACCTATTTAAAGAATATACAAGTATAACCAATTATCTTCTGTAAAGTGGGGCAGGACGATAGCTTCACGATTTTCCTGCACTAGTAATCCTAGCGTTATGACTTCTTAGGCCTTTTTTTTTCCTTATATGACTATAGGGCACTTTTCTTTGAATTTTCACAAATTAGCTTTAAAGTATAGGTAATCAAATATACATAAGTTGATAACATAATTAAGTGGTTGTTTATCTACCTACGTACACTTCTTGCATAACGTACTTATTTTCTAAATTCCAATAAGTAGGTACATATTTTATACCTATACTTGAATGTAATCAATCAATGTTGAAGTTTGTTGATTGAATGGACTATACCAATAACTTGGATTGTAATTTTATTTAAAGGAAGGAGCATTTCCAGAAAAAATTGTATTTCAATGTTTTTTTTTTGAAAAAAGTCTTACATAGATAGTTATTTTCCTATTTACTTTTCGCAAATGGTAGCATGCTTATTGCATTCAACTATTTTGTATTTTTTCTTTAAAAATAGATTCGACAATTTGTAAAAAATACAAACCTAGTTATTTATCATAATCATAAGTATTATTCCTATTACCTAATTATTATTATTTTTTAATGGAGTGTGGTAATTCTAGTCGTCAAAATTTCCTATAAGCGATCTTTAGAAATCGATTCTAAAGTATTGTGCCTTTTGTTAACTATATTTTTTATCTTGGTTATAGATTTTTTTTAAATAAATTTCAGAACTATTTTTCTAGTTGAATAGATTTTTTCGTGTTTTTTAATATGCGTATATATCTGGGTACTTTTTTAAAAAATACGTACGCGAGTTACCTGCCTTCGGGATTGTCCACTACAGGGTATCACCAAAAGTTTTTGGGCTTAAGAGAAAAAATAAAGCACTTATTAAAATGTATATTAATTCTTTTAAAGAGCTAAATATCAACAAGGCCTTTGATTAATTGACAAAAATTGCGGATTTAATGATAATTATTGTAAACAGCACCCATTTGTCTCATTATAACTGCTAAGGTATTATTTCTACCAATTTGTTTTCACAGTCAAATTTCTTTAACTTATGAATTATTATGAAAATACACAAAAAAATTAAATTATATTTTTGGTTCCTTATAGGGAGGTACACCGGAAGTCAATTGAATATTACTGTGCTTGGACTACACTAATAACTTATTTGTTTTACGGTTGTTTATGAACCTTACATAATAAAAAAAAAAAAAAAACAAAGAGCACCACCCTGTACTTGTAGGTTTACGTGATAACTGGACAAGAGGACAAATTCTACAATAACAACGATAACAAACCTTACTACTTTTGATAAAACTTCAACTAACGCTACTATTCTTCAAATTTTGAAAATTGAAAGCAAAAAATTAACTCATACCTTTAGCACCTGCTGCAGAAAGTCTTGGAACTAAAATTAGGGTAGAAAAACTAAACCCATTGAAATGCAGTTCAAGCGTTGATTGGTTCAAGTTAGCGATATTTCCAAACTCAGAGTTGATATCGCACAGGAAATAATTTTGCATGAGCCAAGAAAGTTCGACTGTGAAAAGCCAAGACTTTTAAGGCTTCTTGGTATTAGTATTATCGCCATTTTTGTCAATTAACCAAATTTTTCATCAATTCGTTTTATATTTAAATTAAGTGTATTCTTAAGTAATTTTTTTTAAAGTATACTTAGAGTAAGTAGGCAAATTTAGTGGTATTAAATTATTATACCTCGATAAATATTACATCAAAATTTATACGATTATTTAAAATAATATTAGGCAAATTTTCTTAGTAAATTTTTTTTCTAAATAAAATTCTATGGTACACTTATTTTTGCTGACCGTGTACCCTTTAAAGGAAAAGTGTCCAAAAGTCAATAACAATTATTCGGCCATAATTTGAAAGGTTAACGCGGTGCAGTCAGATTTTTTTCAGGGTATTGTATATACTAGTCTAATGAAAGCGGATACTGTGCAGAGACCGTCTAGCTTGATACCAAAAAAATCGTCCAGCTCAAGTACCTGACTGGAAAAAAAAACTTTCGTTTTTATATTTCTGCTGCCCTGCCAATTTATCTAGCCTCCCTTATACTATACTGTAGACAAGGGCATGGTCTTCAGTAGGAAATAGCTTATTTTAGCCTTTATAACTCCTAAATTTAAGTGTTGAAATTAAAACTATATTTAATCGAGCTGGTCTTGATTAGGAACAACTCGTAAAATAAGAGATAAAGAAATATATCCATGGTGAAAGAAGACCTGCGTCTGACTTTTTTTTATTACAGGAAATTATATGGTAGAATTTTATAAGTGGATATTTTTTTAATATTTTATAGAAAATTCTTTATAAATTGAAAACTGCTGAAATGGATTAAAAATTCCATGTTACACCTTAAGGCCTAGTTAACCTTAGCCAATCGAATATTCAATTTAATCGTAGGAGTATTAGAGGCGAGTAGGTAGGTACCTAAAGGAAAAAGCAATTCGGGATGGTTTTTACCTTGTTTTTCCACTCATAGGTACCTACCGCGTAATAAAAATACCCAACATGTCCCATGACTAAAGTAAATTAGGCTTTACAGCAGTTTTCTTGCGGCTATTTTGCTACTTATGCTTGCAAAATGAGATTGACGTTCTTCTATAAAAATAAGGAAAAATAAATTTAATTTCGACTTATAGTAGAGTAAGATATATAAAATTGACTGGAAAAATCGTATTGGTAAATTTTTTAATGGATATTAATTGTAGATTCCTGTCTCGTGTAGCTATTATCTAATTTTGTCCCCTGAGGTAAAAAATGTGCCATTGCGTCATGCACAAGTTCTAAAATTCTCGAGTTGTGCTATAGAATTGTTTTTTTTACCTTTAATCATTAGATAATATTGGATTTTTGAATTAATTGTTTTTTTTTTTAGATGGTCTGTTAGGTAGGATTTTTTTTTTTATTTAATCTTGAATTATTATAATTTTTGCATGTTGTTTTTTTTTACATTGGCGATTATTCCTATTATATTATTATCATTAAAATAATTATCGTAGAGTTTTCGCAACTTTTTTAAGGTTTTTTGTACAGGTGTTTTAATTTTTTTAACGTGGGATATTTAAGTATGTGGGTTTTTTTTTGTTTTTATATTTTATATGATGAGGACAACAAATTTTGATTGGTTTGGGAAGAGACCAATCAACATCAACCAATCTAAGCAACATTTTTTACGACTTTTTATGGTTATTTTTCAATAACAAAGGGCTTCAAGTTTCTAGAATGGAACAAATTCCTTCATTGCATTGTTTTTTTGAACTGCAACATCCTTGGCTAACAAGAAAAAAATCTTTTGCAAAATGTAGGTACTTTTTGACACGTAAATCGTAGCCTCCTTGATCGGAGATGTTCTGCTTTTGAGAAAAAAAATGTAACACCTCTTTTACACGTCTTCAACAAAAGAGCTGAAACAATCTATTATCAATATTTTTTTGACATAAAACAACATCATGATTTGGTGATGCAATAAATCTCAAAATTGAATGTTTGGTAGTTTTAAACAAATGGATAAAGTAAATAAGCATTGCCAATGACAATTTAGAAATCGAAAATCCAAGAGATGGACATTCATTTTTTTTTTTATTCATGTGATAGTTTGTTGATGTTGATTGGTACGTTTTGTCTCTGAAAAAAAATAAACTGAAGACCATGTAGCTATTGACCAGCTTCCGCTAAGTGTCCGCCATGATAACTGCTCTCCTTATAACATCCCTCATTTTAATGTGTGATACCAATAGACGTTTTTAATGTATTTAAATCAATTTGCACGGATATGTATAGTATATATAATAGTATCAGCTACTCTAAGACTTTGTATTTTTTAAATTTGAATTTTTATACTAAACTGTTATAAATGGTGATTAGTAAAATTTTGTGTGCAATAAAATTCAGCCTCGGAAAGGCATTTTTTAGAGTTTTACCGTTTACTATACTTATTTCTGAAAAAAAAAAAAAAACGTTTCTTAGGAAATTGTGTACATAGCAGACCAAAGTGGCGCATATTGCATCAGGCTGGGGATGTAGTTAGCCAAGGTTCAAATTATTACGTACTTATTCTATCTACATAAACATAATTAAAAGTGGCTTAAAGTCCTTAATATTTATTTGAGTAATATCCTTGTTTGTGTTCCGCTTGATATTTCGACTTTAATAGGTACATTTTTACATAGTGCAAGCTTGAGCATATTAGACTTACTTACCTATAATATATAAAGATATAAACTTTCCAGTTTTATTGATTTTATTCAGAAAAAGAGTTGATGTTAAGGTGGATATTCACATTGAAAAGCATTAGACTTAGTAATGAAAGTTAAATTTCATAAAACGACAAAATAATTTGACGCTTTTGAATGTGGTGATAATCATCATTTCTACCAAATAGAAAATAAATACAGAAATCTGTTGAATTATAGCAGATTGCCTGTTGTGAAAAAAAATATGACCAAATAAGTCTTCAATAAATTTATACATACCTAATATATCTAATAAAATTATTATTTAAAACAAATCGAGGATATTACTTCAACAAAGTTAGGTAGATTAACGCTTTAAAAATTGGAACCATCTTACAAAAATGGTACAAAAAAAATGTGTATGTATTGATATGATTTGTAACAATTTACACTTCTTTTTCTACTGTTTGTATTCGCTAAAGAACGTTGTCTAAGAGAGTGAGAAGGACAGTGATAGGGCATTTGTATGGTACTTTTTGACTTTGTAGGCCATTTATTGTCATTTTATCCCCATTTATCCGTTTTATGAGATTTAGAACTTCGCGCTGTCGTCTGGGAGTAATTAATTTTAACTAGCCCAAGCAGCGCAATGTTTCATATTTTTAATATTGTATAAGCTCTGTATTTATTGGAAATCTTTGAAAGTTTTATATTTTCCACTTTTCATTACTGTTTTAACCAAAGTATTTAGTTGTTTACTATTCTATTCTAAATTAATTGAAAAACAGACCAGTGGTTGCAATAATTTGCGATTAACAGCCGGAATTTGTACCATTTCCCTAATAAAACCTCCAGTTTTACTAACACTATAACGTGAAGCCTTTTCGCCAGAATTTGTTTTGTATAATATAAGATTCAAAGAAATTAAGCTGGGTCCAGACTTTCTAACAAAACATGTTAAAAAAAACAAAGTTGTACAAAAACAACTTTATTGTGTAACTTGTTATAAAGCAATAACATGTTAGGTGACCACTATAAACTTATATAATAAACCATTGTTATATGGTGGCAATTTTTCATGGCTTATTTGAATCAATAACCCGTTTTTTTTTTTTTCGTTTTTGAGGATTGTTTTGAATGGGATTTGGCTGCTTATTTCATGCATAGTTACCCAGAATACCCAAAGTTAGTGCAATATTCAATTCGGCTCGGGCTGTTTCCTTGACTTGGCATGGGAGCTCGATTGTAGGGATAGTCAATTGTTTCAAACTCTTATTGTTGGTCTATTGGTTAGTTCGGTTTTTGTCCGTTATCAACCAATGACTTTTTGATTAGCACCAAGTAGATTTTTATTATAATTATTGTATTATTATTTCTTTTGTTATATTGTACTCTACAAAATATTTAAATTGTTTTTATAATTATTTTGTACACTTTTATATGTTTGTTAGCCAATTTTGAGGTAAGGTTTGTAAAACTTCTTGGGAAGTTCCTCGTTTACTATTTTGTTAGATATCAGACTTTTTATGTTTTTTATAAATACTATATAAAATGTCAATTTGTGTTTATTTGATAAACTGCTGTTAAACTTCTATTCGAGTTTTATTTAAAATTTCCTGGGATTCAACACTAATCATGCCATAAAGGCACTGCAAAATTTGAATTTATAGGCAATCATTAAATTGTCTGAAGATCAGAAATATTGTTTTCTAGTTATACGACGTTATTGGAAAAATTATATGTTGTATAAGTCACTGAAAATTAATTTGCCATTCCAAAATATTATTGTGATTATCTTGCCTTAAACTATAAAGAAAATTATTAAATGGGACAGTTTTTTAACCTTTGTAGGTATCTTATGATTTGAAATAATAACATTCGTTAGAACTAGTTAGATTTTCCACAATAGACCTATCTATTTTACCAGACAAAGAGGTAATAATACGAAAACTTCATTAAATAAAAAAAGACACAGAACGCTCATTGCGCAAGACGAGGCAAAACGTACCAAATTATGTTAGACTTACGTATAGCAATCCGTCCTTCTTATTTGCACAGGATAAAAAGGAAAGGAGAAAAACCGCGTGTTGTACAACGTATTTGTCAATGAAAATGTCAAACAACTTTTGAATGACACTTGTCAAGTTGAATATCAACTTTAGATTTATTCTTGTCAGACTACGTACAATGAACAAGGATAAAGAGATGCCCAGCGTGCAAAACGATCACCTCACACCTGTATTAGCTGGCCAATAAAAAGACATTGCCTCGTGTTGCGCGCGCATACCAGGTAAAAATAGATAGGTCTATTGCATTATAAAGGTAGGTACTACCGGAAAAAAACTAAAAATCCCCTCAAAATCTGCACTGGCAATAACATTGAATATCAATGGAAGTCATAGCAAAAAGCATTGTTGTACACAAGAGTTTTTTGAACTTTATCTATATAGGTACCTATGTACCTATCTACTTTTTTTGAAGTTTTAATGAGATTGTAAGTATGTAAGTAATTGAAAACAATAGGAACAAGTGAAAAAAAAAGCTGCGACGGAACTATAGCTATTTCCCCTTTTTGAGCTAACTAAGCCGCATCACGGTTGCCAAATAGTTTTTACTTTGGCTGACTGTAAACTAACCAATAGGTTTTGAATAATATAAGTCTTGATTCATCAGTTTAGAGTTGCTTTAGATTCTCATTCATACTTAGACAAGCACTGATTAAAAAACAGATTGTAAATTTATTAAATCTTGGAATCAGGATTGGAATATCGAATCCATGAACGCAGCAGTTGCTGTGGTTGGCTGGGTTCGGTAATGCATCTGTGAGCAAAATTTGACAAATGTCACGTAGTGACAATGGAGCATCGAACGTTAAGGGCCCCATACACTACGGTGAAACACGACGGTTTTCACCGCCGCGAGGAAAAGCGTCGTGCCAAAACCGAAGTGTGTGGTAGAAAACCGTGGTGTTTTTCTACCACACACTTCGGTTTTGGCACGACGTGTTTCCTCGCGGCGGTGAAAACCGTCGTGTTTCACCGTAGTGTATGGGGCCCTTTAAGTACCCCATTCTGCCCCGCCTTCCTCTATACAGGGTGTTCCGAAATTAATGCACCAAATTTTTAGGGCATATTCTACGTCGAAAATAAGCGCTAGTTACCTATATAAACATATGTCCGGAAACGCTTCCTTTCCGAGATACAGGGTGTCGAAATTCTAAGAAAAAAACTATTTTTTTTATCATAATTCATACCACTTTGAAATTTTGTACACTGCGTTCAAGCAGCAAAACACATTTTCTGATGTGAAATATTTGAAAAAAAATAGCAGTGACGTCACAAAACTAATTCGAAACTTTAATGGTTTTTTATTTTTTTACGTTAAAATGGTGCATCTTTCGGAAGAGAGTGAAGAGATCAAATCCGTTCCAAATTGAATGGGATCTCAAAAATGATTTTGATTTTAGGAAAAAGCAGTGACGCACCATTTTTTTCTTAAAAAATATGTCTTACAAATCTGGTAGGACGCCACTGATAATTTTAAAAAAGTATATTTTCACATCAAAAAATGTCTTTTGCTGCTTGCAAGCAGTGTACAAAATTTCAATGAAATATCTAAAGTGGTTTGAAACGTATGATAAAAACATAGTTTTTTTCTTAGAATTTCAACATCCGGTATCTCGGAAAGCAAGCGTTTCCGGACATATGTTTATATAGGTAACTGAGGTTTATTTTCGACGTGGAATATACCATAACAATTTGGTGCATTAATTTCGGAACACCCTGTATACCCTAACTGGAAGGCGTGTGGTAGCAGTATTATAGTTTCGTCGCGATTTGTGTGTTATTATATGAAATAAAATTTATTTCTAGGTACGAAGAAAAAAAACGTACGCGATTTTGTTTCGAAAAGGACGCACTCTGCGTCGGGCCCCCAGAGCTGAGGGGCCCCCACACAACCGAATTTTAAAGGCTTCAATAAAAAAAATGAATAAAAAAAAAACTCATGTAGGTATATTAAAAAATATCGAAAATTAAATTTTGAAAGTTACGGCAACGTTGTATACCTCTAGGGAAGCCGGGACTCTATAGAGATCGTTATCCCTATCATTACCGCACTTGCTGTCCTCTTCTCGCTTTTCGAAATCAATAGCGAGGGGGCGTCAATAGAGATAGAGAAAATATCTCTATTTGTTACAGATTCCTACTAGCCCTGTTGTGCTCGACGCGATGCCGGAACCGCGGACGCGGGGACGCATATTTTACTTTTTTGATTTTTTTTCGTATGTGGAGACTATACTACTACTTGTATTTTTTTTTGTTTAGATAGGAAAATCCTGAATATTTACAAATAATTATATTTTCCGTTTAACTTTTTCTCATATTCTATTATTTAGTCGTATGAATAAAGTGGAGCAAATGCTTTTATCCACCTCCGTCTCTTTTTGCTCCGTTAAAGTTGAATATGTTCATGTCAGAAAACTTAGCATTTACTTCTGTTTTATGCATATGAGCCAATGGGTGGTATGAATAAAAATGAGCATTTAGTTTCTACTCCAAATTTTGGAGTAAGTACTCCACGTGGTATGAATAAAAACTACGAGCAGACAGTGGCGGACCTAGGACCTATGGGGCCCGACGCAAATTTTTTTTTTGGGGCCCTGTCATGCTTTTTTTAGGTATTTTTCTTGTGGTATTGGGGTGTGAGGTGAGTGTGCGGAAGTTATTTATATTTTTGAAGTTTTTAACAACCAAATATAAAAACAAATTTAAAACAAAAAAGAAGTTGTACCGCACTGCACGGATACTGTCCGTACTCCACCGACAAGTGCCATAAATTATCTGAGTCTGGAAGACAATAGGCAATTTTTTGCGAGGATAACCAAGCATAATCTTTGGCTGGATTATATGATGTGTCATTTGTGTCATACTAACTCCCTTACCATCAAATTCTGGGATACTCGAGGATCAAGAACACTTAATTGCTTCTGTGAGAACAAACCGAAAATAAACTTTTCTACATTTAAAATCGACGAAAAAATTAACTCACTAGCACAGCCTGAATCGCAAGCATTCCATTGAGGTCTGCGGGTGACGTCATCCCTACAAGCTGCTGATAGTGAGGTCACTCGCAGGCTCAGAATTTGATGTCGAGGGAGTTAGGGGAGTATGATACAATTGACACATCACATAACCCAGCATGATCAGAATATGCTTAATTATCCTCTAGGATAAGACTCCCGCCCATTACCCGCGGTTAAACTTAAAACGATTTTTTTAAGATTTGTAATCCTCTACTAGAATAAGATTTAATTAAAATTTCAGCTCTCTCTCTCTGAAATTTCGCTCCCGCCGATTACCCGCCTATCACTCGCTCCCGCCCATTACCCGCGGTTAAACTTAAACGATTTTTTTAAGATTTGTAATCCTCTATCAGAATAAGACTCGATTAAAATTTCAGCTCTCTCTCTGAAATTTCACTCCCGCCTAATACCCGCCTATTACCAGCTCCCGCCCATTACCCGCGGTTAAACTTGAAACGATTTTTTTAAGATTTGTAATCCTCTACTAGAATAAGATTTAATTAAAATTTCAGGTCTCTCTCTGAAATTTCGCTCCCGCCTATTACCCGCCTATCACCCGCTCCCGCCCATTACCCGCTGTTAAACTACTTAACACGACTTTTTTAAGATTTGTGATCCTCTATTAGAATAAGACTCGATTAAAATTTCAGCTCTCTCTCTGAAATTTCGCTCCCGCCTAATACCCGCCTATCAGCCGCTCCCGCCCATTACCCGCGGTTAAACTTGACACGATTTTTTTAAGATTTGTAATCCTCCACTAGGATAAGACTCCATTGAAATTTCAGCTCTCTCTCTGAAATTTCGCTCCCGCCTATTACCCGCCTATCATCCGCTCCCGCACATTACCCGCGGTTAAACTTAACACGATTTTTTCAAGATTTGTAATCCTCTACTAGAATAAGATTCAATTAAAATTTCAGCTCTCTCTCTGAAATTTCGCTCCCGCCTATCACCCGCTCCCGCTCATTAATCGCGGTTAAACCTAATACGATATTTTTTAAGATTTGTAATCCTCTACTAGGATAAGACTCCATTGAAATTTCAGCTCTCTCTCCGAAATCTCGCTCCCGCCTATTACCCGCCTATCATCCGCTCCCGCACATTACCCGCGGTTAAACTTAACACGATTTTTTCAAGATTTGTAATCCTCTACTAGAATAAGATTCAATTAAAATCTCAGCTCTCTCTCTGAAATTTCGCTCCCGCCTATCACCCGCTCCCGCTCATTAATCGCGGTTAAACCTAATACGATATTTTTAAAATTTGTAATCCTCCACTAGGATAAGACTCAATTAAAACTTCAGCTCTTTCTCTGAAATTTCGCTCTCGCCTATTACCCGCCTATTACCCGCCTATTACCCGCCTATCACCCGCTCCCGCCCATTACCCGCTATTAAACTTAGCTCGATTTTTTCAAGATTTGTAAAAAAGCCTACATCGAAAATATGAGATATGTTGATTGCTCTGGAAATTGCAACCTTTAGTACATAAATATATTTATATAGCTAA